CATATAAAACCTTGCAAAATTGTTGGCCCTTAAAACAATTAATCTAGTGATCTTTTGGCATCAAATTATGGTCTAGATATTTCTTTTAGGTGACTTGGTATAAGAAAGCTTCTGTGTTTCAAAACCCAGGCATATTTTCAAGAAACAGGATTTATAACCATCTCAAGTGAACGCACATTAACCTTCAAGCAACATCCTCCGAACATATAGTGGCAAGTTATGAAATGTAGTTCTGTTTTTTGATGGTATATGATCTCACACTACAAAAGCTCATTATGTATTGATTGTTATGCTGCTCAAATGTTAGCTTTGACCAGATGATTGATCTATGCTTCCTCTATTTGGCATTGCACAGACAAAGTCCTGATACTGAATATAGAGTTTTCATTCTCTTCAACATCCATGTGCAGAGAAAACCGAAAATAGTATTCACTTTGTAACTGACCCATATGGTTCAGCAGCATAAGCTAAATAAATGCCTCCCACCACTCAATTTATTTCTGTAAATCAAACATCTACAAACCTGGACTACCCTAATCAAACCCACTCCCTCCTCTTTCCTTACCAAAAGTGTGTCACATCTGTTGTGCACCACATTTGTTGTGCATCAACACATTGTGTCAAAAATCTGCAATGTACAGAGACAGACCTAGTGCATGGAGTCTCATGTTTAATTAGGGAAAATATATTGACCCACAGTATACAAATGATAAAATAGACTAGCTCTGTAGGACAGCCCTGTTAACTTATGGTAGCAAAATATCAGGCGTCTGGTAGCACCTTTTCTAAGAAGTTTTATTTAAAAGCGTAAGTTTTTGTGAGCTGCAGCTTACTTCATCAGATTCATAATACTACAACCTTAGGCCTTTTAATGCAATTTATAAAAAAGATACTATCAAACTCCTCCTGATTTTCAACTACTGAAAGATCATTATTTTTATTACTAATAACTGTTAAAATCTATGTGTATAAACATGAATCCCTATGATTAAACAGGGAAGATGGCAAAATTGAATCCTTTTACAAGCTGTTCCCTCTTTTTACTGTTTTATTTGTTTGGAATGCAGATTCTGATAAATCTGTGGAATTCAATAACTCAATTACTTAATGTAAACAGCAACATAAAGAACATTTCCCAAAATGGATCTACATTTTAAATATCCTGCCTGACCCATTAATCAATAAAATAAATACAATGCAGCAGATTTTTATCCTTCAAACAGGACTTCTTTTAGACTTCTGTCACAATGTCATACTACTCTACTAATAATTAATAGAATATATCACATAATTTGGGTAAAAATACATTTTTATTATAGTAATATAGCTGCCCATCTCATAAAAAGTGACTTTGGGTAATATACAACAATCAATAAAATGACAAATATATAAGTTATTATAAAAATGTCATTGCACTATTTTAAATACTATTTAAAATTAAATCTACAACCCATATTGAAAAAAACACCCTCACAGTTACAACCATTGCGTCACCCTCTCAGTCACATGATTATAATTCAGACGCTTTGCAAATGGCTCCTACTTATGACAATTGCAGAATCTTATGTTTACATCTTCACAATTTGTGACTTTCCCAATTGGCTTCCAACAAGCAAAGTCAATGGTGTGTGTGTGTCTGTGTCTGTGTGTGTGCCAGATTTGTTTAATGACTTCACTTCACTTTTGTGACTCACTTAAAAACCACAGCAAAAAGGTCATAAAATCAGCAGAGGTTGTAAGTAGAAGATTACTTATACTCTTCAAGGGCAGCCCCCATATAAAGTGCATCTGGAAATGATTAGTGATTGTGAGCAGAGCTTCCAATTCAAGAAGGGGTGAAACTGTGCAAAAGAATTCCAGCCAATGCTACCACCTGCTCTTGGGTCATGAGTCTACGAAAAAAACCCAGATTGCACACCGAGTCTGCCTAGGGCAGTGCCACTCCATCCAGCACCAAAGATGGCATAGTCCTAGAATCAGTAAGCCTCAAAACCCAATCAGTCTGGCCAGAATTCAGCCAAAGCCTGTTGTCCTCCATTTAGATTATCACAGCCTCCAGGTACCAGGATAAAACTTCACATCACTGATTAATTCACTTGGGACAGAGATGTATAGTTGGGTATCATCAGCATAGTGAGGAGACTCCACCCTAAGGCAATGGATGAATTCACCAAGCGGCCTCATGTAGGAGAGAGGAAGAATAGGAATAGGAAAAGGGAGAGCACCAAATAGGAGAGAGAAGAGCACCTGTGGCACCCCACTTAGTTGGGACTTGAGGGCGGGACCTCTCCTCCTCAATCACCACTAACTGAATCAACCCTGAAGAAAGGAAGCAATACAGCACAACATTATGCTACCCATCCCTAATCCTCCAAGTCAATGAAGGATATTCTGTTTGATGGTATTAAATGCTGCTGAGAGGTCAAATACAGCAAGGATTGATGCATGACCCCCATCTCACATGCTAGGAATCATCCAAGGTGCAACCGATGCTGTTTTTATCCCACATCTGGGTCCGAATCTTGATTGAAAAAGATATAGGTAATCTGCTTCATCTATGGCCTTTTGAAGCTATTGAATAATCACCTTCTCAACCAACTTCCCAAAAAGGAAAAGTAGGTTACTGGATGAAAGTCGTCCAGTATATTGGGGTCCAGCAATGGCTTCTTGAAAAGGGGGTGAACCAAGGCCTCTGTAAGAGGTAAAAGAATAATCCCCTCACTCAAAGAAAAATTAACTACCGCTAGAACCCGATCAGGTCTCACACAGACACAAAGAAACAATGCAGGTCACTTTAACTATCCACATTTGCTTCTAAAAGTTTAACCACTGGCATCTATACCAATTCTGAGGTATTATTAATGCCTCAGTCCATTTTAAAGGATTCTTTTTTTTTTATTAAAAGTTTTATAAAAGTTTTACAATATAATTCCCCCCCCCTCTCCAAAACCCTCCCTCCCCCTCCCCCCTTCCTCCCCCCACTTCCCAGAGCTAATCACAGGATTAACAAGATAATCGTGTTCTAACTAACATTAATCAACTATTAGAATAACAAATCTGTAAAGTCCTTTAACTCTCTTTTTAACATAAAATATATTAAG